ATGGTTGACCTGTGGTGAGGCATAGTGAAGATATATTGGTGGCAGATATTGAATGCTACTTCTAGTTATTAATTTAGAAAGTTAGTATACTGTAAATTCGTATTATAGAATTTTTGAGATGAATACTGGCAGAACTGTCAAGATTTTTTTCATTGCATTAAATGGAATGAAGATGGCACGTCGTCGTATTTTCCAATATTGTTTATGAATCTACATCAAACATTTTGAAGATTTTGGCTCCTATATTTTGCAACTTGATCAATACAAGACAAGTGAAAATACTTGCATATGTCAGCTTTGAAATGACTAACTCTTACACATTGTACTTTCCATAGCATGGGTTAGAGGTTCCTTGTTCATATACATTTACACTTTTAATTTCATGTAACATGACCGGGGGGCTTTATAAACATACACCATGAAGGTATTAACAGTATCCTCTCACTAGTAAAACCACAAATCTTATATTTTTATTTGAAAGGAATAAAGTGGTAGAGAACATCGTTATATATTCACCATAACTAAAAAAGTCAACTCTTTTATTGAGCGTAATGAAAATTCCTCAATTTATTTTGATCGTGATTCATGCAGGCAGGGCACAAAGCATAAAATTATAAAGTCAGTCATTTACTATACCTATTGCCAAAACCAAGGGTGCCTCAGTTGCTCTAATAACGGTTCAAACTTGCGTGTTTTTTTTGGTTAGCAATAAAGCCAGGTTTGCTACTTGTACGAATAGCATAGATGAAAATAATAAATCTGTACTAGTGGAAGACAACATCAGTAGTAACATACAAATACGTGTTTGTCATTTAAACATGTGTAGCTTACCAAATGAAATTGAGGAACTTGAGTTACAACTTTTAAGCCTGGATTACCCAGAAGTTGTATGCATAACTGGAAGTTGGTTACAATCTCATGAAGCTGAAATGACTACCCTGTCAAACTACTCACTTGTTGGCTACTACTGTAGAATGCGAATGCAAATGGAAGAGGCGTTGCGATCTTTATCCATTTTGAAATTCAGTACAAGGTGGTTAGCTGTACTATTCCATAACTTCAATAAGTTTTTGTTATTCAATGATAGACATAAATGTACATGTTATTTTGACGCTTGGCTGTTTCTGATGCAGATTTATGCATTTACAACTGTGATATTTTGCAAAGGCCTTTGAAGAGCAATATGATGGTTGTTTGTGACGACTTCAACATGAACTTTGACCCACTGAATATGCATACATCAGCAAGGAAACTTGTAACAATTCTGAAATCGTTCAATACGGAACAACAGGTGTGGGATTACACTAGAGTTACCAATAGCTGCAGATCGATCATTGACAATATTTTCTCCAATATACCCTCCACCTTCTACAGAAAAGTTAACTGTAAGTTACCAGAACATAATCTTCAGATTGTTGATAAGTTGGAAAGTACTAGCCCTCAAACACAAACTGTTTATCACACCAAACGCCACTTCGATGAACCTAAAGATATTGAAATGTTCAAAATGATTTTTCAAGAAACATACTGGTATTTTGAATGGCTTGACTTTGATTCAAAGTTTGATATGTTCTATGATATATTCGTGCAAGTCTTTGATAGTCGCTTTCCTGTAATATTAGTCGACAGGAAGCATTGCAGTTCCTCACAATTGTACGAACAGCTGGATAACTAAAGAAATTATTGACGAATGTAAGTTGACTGCACGCTAGAAACTACTGATTAAAGAACGTAAAAGAAAATTATCAGGAACAACAGGAGACTACTATAATAATAAAATTGCTAAGCCTAGTAACAAGAGTAAGATTAATTGAAGAAGGAAGGCTTTCACGGCTAATTCTAATGTCATTTAGGTTTTTCGGGTTATTGAGCCGCGGTCGGGTTGGATTTGATCCAGAACTTTCGGCTACATCTGCGGTTGCCACCTTCAGTGGCGCTGTCGGCGAGAGCGAAGTGCTCGGATTGGCGGGTCGACTGAAACTGATCAAATCCAATCCGACCCCGGCTCAACAACCCGAAAAACCTAAATGACAAGAGTAAGATTGGTTGCCAAATTATCAGTGCACATTCGAAACATACAAAAGCACAGGTGAGCTGATTTCTGATAACGATGGAAATGTTTTCTCTACATCATCTAAGGAAGCTGATGATACGCTTAATATGTTTTTCATTAATTCTGTGTCGGCACTGACGAAGTCCAGTCACGGAAGATAAAGCTATTGAGGTGATAAAACATGTCGCAGGAAATATCACTAGGCTATGATGAATTACCTTGCTCATTCCTATCAAATATCATAGACTTAATTGTAAAACCTCTAAAAGCACTCTTTTGCGGAAGGCATATTTTCTTATCACTAACATGGCTAATCATAAGGGCAATTCTTTAAGGAGGCCTGTTACAATAAACTGATGATGTTTGCTGACAAATTCAGTATCATTAGCAGACACCAATTTGGATTTCAGAAAAACCTATCAACAAAAGTTGCAGTATGGACTTTGTGTGACCTTGCCTGAACCTGCCTTCAAGAGAAAGAAAAAGCATGTTGTCTCGTAATAGATTTAAGCCATGCCTTTGACACTGTCAACCATGTTGTCTTACTCGGAAAGTTTAATGACTAGTGAATCAGAGGAACTGCTTTAACTTGCATAGGCAGTTATCTATCCGATAGGAACAAAGAGTTGTCACTTATAATAGTAGATGTAAATTATCTTCTGTCACCAAGGTTGTTTTTACTGGTGTTCCACAAGGAAACATACTAGGGCCACTACTGTTCTCGTTGTTTGTCAACGATACGCCCATTTTCATGGAACAGCATATTGTTACATTATTTCCTCATGGTACCACGGTAGGCGATAAAAATAAAGATCCAACTCCGCTCAGTACCGAGTTGTCAGTTGCATAACATCACATGGAGAGGTACTGTGTTATGAATCGTCTAGTACTCAATGAACAGAAGACGCAGTTTTGTATTCGATAGACAGATTGTGATATTGACCTGGAAGTAAACGTAACTACGGTGAACGAGATTCAGGTCACTAAATTCCTTCGTGTTGCGATCGATTCAAGGCTCACTTGGAGAGATCATATTGACTGCTCTGTCAATAAAAAATCGAAGCATTGTTTTGTATTGTGGAGATTAAGGAAATTTGTAAGTACTGAAGGGCTTAGGATGTACTCCTTTGCTCACGTACAGTCCGATATGAGTTACTATTTGCTACTTGCAGAAGAGAGTGATTCGTACAGTAACTTTTAGTACTAAGCTCAATTCTTGTCGGAGGTATTCAAAACTCTCCACATCGTGACGGCATATTTGCTTAGATAGACTTTATCAGCAAAGAATCCCCTGATAATGCCTTTCAGATTGTTCAACATGCCAATAATCTGTTTCCAGCCTGTTCATCCGTCATTTCTTTCTTTATCTGCTAATTATTCATTTCTTTTTAGTCTGCTCGCTTATGTTGTTATTTTGTGTACATTATGTTTATGTTATCTAAATTATTGTAGCTCTGTCCTTAGTGTTGATTGTGTCAGAACTATTTAAGAATTTTTTTTTCATTTCACGTTCATACAATATGCTAATACCTTTAAAGTCAAATGCGGTGATGGGCGGTTACCCGTATACATTAATTGTCTGCGTCTCGATGTATACATTGTGTATACAATGAATAGAATGCATACAATGATGAAGACATAGAATCGTGTAAGTGAGGTTAGGTTTATTCGCAGTCAGAAAGTTGGTACACAGTGAACCGGCAACTTTAAAAAATATGATTGGACGCTCGAAGAACAAAGAAATCGATGAACTAGGGTTCATATTGTTTAAAAATGGAAAGACACATCCCGTATAATGTAGCATCTCGATTGAAATCACACAAGTATTTTGTTTTATTTTACTCAAGAAATGTTCCTAATCTATTTAAAACTGTATGTTTGTATACGTATACACTATGAATAAATATTATATATTCATACCCTTTCCCATTATTTATAAGCTGCTTTCACAGTCAAACCAATAATGCAATATTTCAGAATTTGAAGCGATTCTGAACTTTCAGTTCCACCTAAAATCGGAGAATCATTAGGATCGATCTGGAAATAGATTCGACAGAAATGTGCATTTGGGCGTAGAAAACGGAGCATTGTAGCAAGTTACAGTCGTATTATGTGGCCTTCGTCACTGTTGTGCCAGGCAACGTGGTATGTGGCGTACTCTCTCTACACAAGTGGTGCCCGCTTCTCCCCTCTCTCTCTTCCTCGTACACATGGAAATCTAAAAGGGCAAGGGACTTTCGCCAGCACTGTATCCAAGTAGTTTAATTATGATTTGCTATTGTATGCACTGTATGCGTGAATATCGAGACGTATATATTCACCATTGTATACGCGTATACTGTTTTTTTTTATACTCCAATTACCACGAAGGCCTAAGGCCTAAACACCCATTGGGTACTGTGGGGCTATAGGGGGATACACAGACTCTGGAGAGGCAACACGTTTGCATGCAACATGCACACATTCTGACTCCGCCTACGAGATCCGCCGGGTGGTACCTCCGCGTTCGACAGTCAGACACCGTCTACCACCTACGGACAATCACAAAATCCATAGCCAAGAGAAAAATTTCTCCTGGGACGGGACTCTAACCCGCACAGCGCACGGCGACTGATCAGGAGACCGAAGAGTCTACTACTGCGGCCACCGCTGCTGCCTAGTGTATTATACATGATGTATACAATGCGCCCATCACTGACCAAATAGCAGTAAAGACATTATTATTATTATTTATTAACCCGTAACCACAGACGGCCAATAAATTGAACATTACCACAGATGTGGCGTCAAAATCACTCCTATAATGAAAGCCATGGAAGACATATTTGAAGAATAAAAACAAGTTTACCTCTATCTTATATTACTTAAATAGGGTCTTTCTTAATATCGTTATTAATAAAAAAAACTTCAGTAAAAAGCAAACAAGTTTTAAAGAAATATATTTATTGCATACAATTTTCGTGAATATTTAAAACAACATTTTTGGTAACTTTTTAACATAAAGAAAAATGAACTTGTCGAGTACTTTTCATATAAAACTCATTAAAAACATAAAACACAATACTTACAACGATTATAAATTTACATGAAAGTGATATGGAAACGTGCAGTAGGTCTGCCCAGGCAATTTTTTCATTTTGCACAGTCCACGCAAACCATTTGAAACGGTTTTTTTTTTTTTCATAGAAATAGTTTTCTGTAGAAACGCCGTTCGATGTCTCGTCTTCTTCAGTAGAAAGTCTTTTACAATCTCTGTCCATTCTTGTTCTGAATGCTCTCATAATCACTGTAAATGAATTTGGTATCTGAATCAATATCACTGTCGTTTTCATTTTGCTCATCCACCTCAGCCGCCCATTTCAGCAAAGTTTCCTCGTAGTCCGAATCGCCATATCTAACATTTTTTGAGGGACCAGCTTTGCTATCAAAATGCATCATATAAACCTCAGCTAAGCCGCGCAGGTTCACGAAATGCAGAAACAAGAATATAACATTATCACAGACCTGTAGTTTTTGACTCCGTAGGAAATTCAAGTCGTAATGAAATGTAAATAACGTACACAATCAACGCAACTGTCTCAGTGCTAGCTCAATACTATTTGATGAACAGGTATGCCTGGTCAGATAGACTGAGGAGAAAATGGGAAATTCCCCATCACGTACTAGCAAGGAGTGGTTACGGGTTAATACTCGTACGTTGTTCATTTCGTAGATATTTGTAAATTTACTTTTTTGCAGACGATACAAGTTATTTCGTCGCTGTTTATGAACAGGTTTGTTACAGTTCTCTAATAATTAATTTCTCTTAGTAACCTGAACTGCAACTGGCATAAATATTCTACTCTTTGGAAGATTAGGTAAGATTGGAAGCGAACTTATATGACATAAGTTAATTAGGCTGGTAGGATACCATGCTGTGGCTCTGGTGCAACTATTGCTTTTTTCCATTGATCTGTGAATACATTATGTTCCATATAAGCATTAAATATGTTAACTGTTGAAGTGCGATACCACAATTTTCAATATTCGACTTATGTAGTTAATACTCAGAGTACACATCTCCCCGTAAGAAAGAGTATTCAGCATTCCGTTGATGACTCAAGTACTTTTTAAAATGTTGGTTTAATTTTTGTTAAATGAAGTAGCATTTGGTTGGCAACAAAAATGTTGCAGGTATCAAGTGAGTCTACCTAATTGCTACGCAAAACTTGTCCTGGTGAGACGGAATGATGACAAGCCCTCAACACAGGAAAGCCCAAACAAGGAGTAAACGGCGCTTGTGTAAACTTGTATAAATATGAAAATTCTTAACCGACGCTACACCACAATTCAATTTTAAGATATGGTCCTGGCGCTTTACAAATCCGCTGTGTGCAGACTGCATAATTTTAGAGGACACAATACAAACTACACTCGACCTAACTCCACGATTATTTGAAAAAAAAAATGGACTGGCGTGATTATATTTGACCGTATAATATTATTATAATACAATATAATTCAAACCATGAAACTATATAATAACTGCTTAAAATGTCATATAGCGCATTTATGTGCATATGGTACATTTTATGAAGCATGAATTTAAGGGATACATGGAGCTTTACACAAATTCTTTTTCTTAATGTCAAAAGTTGACTTTACTTTTGGCATGATAGATACGTATAGGATGCGCGACGACGGTGTTTTTACTTTTGTTGTGAACACTCCTTATACTTATACAGAACAAATATTGTATATATGTGTAAGATGCTCTTGTGTAATGTGATGTGATTAAACTATAAAAAAGGATCACTCGAAACACGTGGCTCACATGCGCCATGTAAAAGCTTTTCAAGTCACCGTTCCTCGGAAGTCTTACCGACAGTTCAATGAAAGGCGCTCTACATCATTCGTAAACACACATATACATCGACATTCGACGTTTTCCCCTCATACACAGCATTGTTCAAAAGAATGCAGAGGCATTCCTTAGAAAAGGGACGTAACAAAATCAAATTCTCCTCTATGTGAAATTAAATTACATCTGACTGTTCGGAAACGAACGGAAAATCGACATTTCCGTAAAAATTGCATTAAACGAAAGCCATTTTGGTAATTTCACGGCACAATGGGGTCTGATCTGATATTTCCGTCTGTCTGTTTTCTGGTTTGTTTAACACTCAGAAGCACGCGAAATTGTTTCCAAGTGTCCCTCTGTTTCTTCACGGAAAGAACTCTATATCATTATATATTGGACGCTAGTTGTTGCCCTGTTCACATACCAATACTGCGTAGGAGAAGGAGAAAAGGTATACATATACAGTGCTTTTCTTCAGTGTCCCCCTTCCCTTTGATTTTTTGAACGGATCAATTTAAAATAATAAAACTTGGGTCAATGAAATTGATGCGTGGATACCATATTTTAGAGTAAAATTGACAGATGAAAATGTCAAGATTTTTACGAAATGGGGGTCTTGTGGCACATCATTTTCAAGCTCCTGACCAGTACTTTATAACCCTAGAATATAAAGTCAATAAATTTCAATTTCAATAAATTACTACAAAGTGGTGGTACATTTAATAATTACGTGAATATATTGACACTTAACATAATAATTAGAATAAATATATATATATATATATATATATATATATATATAAGATATTCCATATGTTAGAACTTTGTATATCTGTTCTGTGTGCCTGGTTGTTTGTACCAAGCCATCCTCTATTGAAACAGCAAATCACACTTATTACACTAAGAATAACTTCAGTATATGCGCTGACTCTCGCTAGTTTCTAACTTGTGCTGAACATAATCCTTTATGAACTGATGACGGCGTTGCATGCAAAGTACAGAGTCCATCTACTTCACGCAATTTTTGCGTTTGTAAGTCACTTGATAATGTAATACCGTACATAGTAATGGAATGTAGATTGACAGATGAGATTTAAGTCTGAAATACTGTGGAACTTTATTCTTAGAACGCCTAAATCATTACAGAGTCATGACACTTGATGATAGCCGACTAATTTCTAAACAGTTTTTTTGTGATTGGAATTATAAGAGACAATAGGGATACGAGGTAGCATTTATCATGAAAAATATGCCAGTTTTTGAAAACCAAATAAAATAAATAAACAATAAACCATGACAATGACAAATGACAGAACCATTATTCCCAAGGTTTTGAGCTAGGGAAGAAAAGCATACTTTTGATGTTTCAGAAGGATTACTTTGTTCCATTTCCGAGAAACAGGTACGTCAAACAATTACAAACGCTAAAATTGTTACAGAGTAGCACAAAGTACACTATGTAATGATTTATAAATGCACGCCAGGACAGTAAGGGGACACAAAACCCCCAGAAACATTCTAATATAGATTCTGGTTAAGCGAAATAGTGCATACTGAGAAAATTCGGATTCTGCGGTGATCAGGACCTGAAAAACGTTTAAGAACCATCTGGAAAGGTTTTTGGTTTTGATTTTTTCGATACGGTTCTTCAAACATCCTATATAGGAAGGAATTTTCCGGAATTATTTCGTAGCTCAATAAACAATCTACAAAAGTCTCCTTCATGATATTTTCATATCTACTTCCTTTTATGGGATACACTCTATTTTTTGTAACTATCGTTAGTCCACACAAAGATGCGCCTAAGTGATTACAAAAAAGCGTTGTGCTTATTAAGGTGCCCACAAATTAGCAACCATGTGCGTCATACACTTTTTTCATACATGTGTGACATACATGTATGTCAACAGATTTTGAGCCCAGACCTGCATACAAGATTGTTAAGCAAGTTAGTTTGAAAGTGCATAATGAGCAGTGAAGACGAGTACATTCTATTGGCAGCGGCGTACGCTGCTTTAATTAAAAAGAAAACAAATAGATTATTTAAAAAGCCACCTATCCGGAAGAAATGGGTAAAGGAATGGCTTTTAAAACGCCCACAATATACCCATATTAGTCTGCTAGAAGAACTACGTTTAGAACCTGACGATTGGCGAAATTACCTGAGGATGGATGAAGAAAGCTACTCAACGCTACTAACCTTAGTGTCTCCATTAATTGTAAAACAGGACACGATTTTGAGGTCTTCAATTTCGCCACATGAGCGATTAACAGCCACTCTTCGCTATTTAGCAACAGGAAGAAATTACGAAGATTTAAAGTTTTCAACTTTAATTTCTCCTCAGTCGTTAGGTAAAATAATACCGGAGACCTGTCGAGCAATATTTGAGGTATTGAAAAACGAGTATATGAAGGTAAGAAAAATATGTGCATGTTTTTAGTATATTGCATTTATTATTATGAGTATAATATACAATGTTTACTTTAACATAAAAAAATATAGTCAGCAAAACTTTAATAATAAGAAAACACGAAAACCTAAAACAAAAATCATGACAAAACCTAGAACCTGAACTAATGAATTCAAACTAAACTGATGTGATAAAAACTGAAACCACAATGAAGTAATACTCGTTTTTTTCTAATACAAAACTAATAACCCAACTGTTGGCTTTCGTTTTTGTTGGCGATGAAGCGTTCACCCTTCGACAAAATCTTTTGAAGCCATTCAGTCGCAGAGATTTGAATAACGAAAAAAAATTTTTTTCAATTATCGTCTATCGCGGGCTAGAAGTAAAGTTGAGAATGCGTTTGGAATATTGTCTAATCGATTTAGAATATTTCACACAGCATTTTCTGTTAATTTAGAAGCAATTGATAGCATTGTTATGGCAACCTGTGTTCTGCATAACTACTTAAGCAGAAGATGTGCGACTGTATATGCACCACATAATAATATGTATACAGAAAATACAAGTACCGGCACTATTGAACTGGATGAACAACCAACTAATTTAATTCGTTTACAACAAAGTCTCAACCAAAGAGTCAACAACGAGGCAAAACAAGTCAGAGATTTGTACATGCATTATTTTAATAACGAGGACGCAGTGGAATAGCAACGAAAGATGGTGTATTAATTCCATGTAATGTAGTAAATAGTATTTTTAACAAATAAATTTGTATTGCAATAACTAGATTGTACTTTTCTTACCTCATCTTCATTATTAGCATCTTGTTCGCTTTCACCTTCCTGATTCTCAACCAAATTGCTGACCGATTCTCGAGGCATTTCTTGATCTTTTGTAAATAGCAATAAATCATAATACCATAAATGTGTGTTGTATATTTCATCTGACCCTCTGCCTGACCGTTTTGAATGTTCTATTTTCTTCATTTCTCTGCTAAAGCTACCGTAGATGCTATTTATTTTAGCTTTCACACACTGTTTTGTACTATTTGGCTCAATTTCTTGTAACTTTTTCAATAAAACTAAATAAGCTGCATCTTTCTTATTTCGATCCTTGTAATCATCACTTTTAGTTTTCCATAAACAAGGATAACCTTTGTAAAGTTCAATAAAATCCGCCAAAAAGGCTTTTGTAAAGTGTCTTACATCAGACATTGTCAAAAGCGACGACAAACTGATAATAAACACGCGAGACACTGTACCCAAAATGCATGCGTGAAGAAGACACACACCGACAATCTTGTTTGCAAATTCATGTTTGCGCGTTGATGAATTCCGACTAGTCTGGAAAACTTGTACGACGTACATGCTTGTGGCTTTTGCACCACACACCGGCAACCATCAACGCGCAAACGTGGTTGACA